CTAGCCGATAGGCTGAAGCTAAGGGAGGCCATCAAGGACCTCAAAAGCAGGCGAGCGGCCTGGTGAACAAGGTCTCCGGTTAGTGGGTTTTCGCGTGGTCAGCCGGCGGTCCTTATAACGCCCTACCACTGCCCATTCTGGTAGCGCACGACCCAGGTCTGGATCTAACGAAAACCCTCAGATAGTGCTAAGTAATGTGCGCAGCCTAAGGAATAAGGTGTAAGAGTTAGGTCTGCTTGTAGATAGGTCTCATCCCGATATACTCGCATTCACTGAAACGTGGCTGTCTCAGGACATCACGGATGGTGAAGTACATCTATCTGGCTGCGCACTATTTAGCTGCAATCGCTCTGCTGGCCGACAGGAAGGAGGCGTCGCTCTTTATGTGAGCTGTAAACTTGACGTTTTGAAGACTTGCTTATTTCAGTAGGCAGACAAAACTGTTGAGGCTCTATCGGTTGTTATTAGCACATCCTCGGCTCAGGTTACAGTTGTAATTGTGTATAAAAGCCCTGGGAGCGTATCCAACGAGGTACTTGAATTCATTCGCTCCCAGTCCGCAAATAAGTGTTTGGTGATGAGCGACTTCAACCTCCCAGAGATTTGCTGGGCAGATGTTTCTTGCGACTCAGCGTCAGGCACATTCGGCGCTCATCTGCTTGAAGTTACGCTCCAAGTATCTTTGCACCAGTTCATTGACCTCCCCACTAGGTACATGGACGCCCAAATACCGTCTACCTTAGACCTTGTATTCGCTAAGTCACTCGATTTTGTTGGTGACATTACTTACGGACCTCCACTGGGTTCCAGTGATCATGTTTGTTTGCTCTTCAGTTGTACTCAGTCTAGACGCTACCAGAGTACTGTTGAATCTCGCCCGAACATATGGCAAGCAGACTATCAATCAATGAGAGCCAAGGCTTCTGGTTTTCATTGTGAGATCTCAGACGACGATACTGTCCAGGTTGCCTGGGATAAATTTAAGTCCTACTTCACAGAGGTCTCTGCTCCCTTCATCCCAGTCAGAAGGAGAAAGGTGGCCCGAGCACAGCCGCCCTGGATAGATCCCACTGGCAGGTATCTGCTCACAGAGGTGTAGATGTTGACGGACTTACCGAGATGCTCCGTCCACCGATACTTATGACAGGCACCGTAAGGCTAGAAATAGGTGTAAGCAACACCTAAGGCATGCTCGGCTCAATTTTGAAAAAGGGTTAGCTGACGAAGCTTCAGAGAAGCCAAAAAGCTTCTTCGCTTATGTCAAAAGGCGCTGCGGTTCGAACATGTCAATTCCAGTATTGATGCGTGATGACGGTACTCATGCGCATACGGACTACGACAAGGCCTGCGTACTCGGTGGGTAATATGCGGCAGCTTTTGTAAAGGAAACCTCTTTGACAGGCGTTGAGCTGGTTTTCAGGATCCCAGAGGGTTCAGAACTACCTGAATTATTGTAGCGGAGACTGCAGTTCGTGGGCTGTTACAAGGGCAGAACCCTTCTAAGGCCTCTGGGTCTGATTTACTTCACCCGAAACTGTTGAATGAGTTGGGTGCGGAACTAAGTGGACCGCTCGCTATTGTGTTTCAGAAATCGCTTGCCAGTTGTGCATTGCCTTCCGAATGGAAGAAAACTGTCATCTGTCCCATCTTCAAACATGGGGACAGGAGTCTGCCTGCAAATGACAGGCGAGTTAGTCTGACGAGTGTAGTAATCAAACTCTTCGAGAAACTGGTGAGAGATTCATTGGAAAGTCATCTGAGCAGATTTAATCTACTTAGCGATGTACAACATGGATTCCGGAAGGGATTTTCGTGTCTGACTATTCTGTTGGTGGCTCGCGGAAATTGGGCGGATGCAGTGGATAACGGCCACACATCGGACGTGCTTTTCGTCGAATTTCGAAGGCATTTGACAAGGTACCCCATTTGAGGCTCGCGCAAAAGCTGCCCCCCTAGGGGTATCTGGCCGCGCCATTCATTGGGTGGCTGCCTTCTTGAAGGTTAGAGAACAGTGTGTACGGGTAGGCCGGGGCCTATCATTTAGGCAGTCTGTCCTCAGCGGCGTGCCGCAGGGCTCGGTCCTTGGACCGCTGTTGTTCTCTATCTATATGAATGACCTACCCGCAGAGCTTGAGGTACCATCGCTGCTATTTACTGATAACCAGAAGTTGTGGAAAATTGTTGATGTTCCTGGGGTTCCGAAGCTATTCAGCGAGCATTGGATAAGCTTTGGGACTGGTCTACTTTACGGTTACTGCCCATAAATCAAGCAAAGTGCTCCGTTCTTCGAATTGGAGGAGCTTGTCCTCCTGTGAAGTACTTGGTCGGTGGGGTCTAACTCCCCCGTGTATCTAGCCAGGTTGCCCTAGGCGTCGTACACTCTTCGGCTTTACACTCCGGCGACAACTGGAAGAAGGCCACAAGCAGAGGTTTCTGCACTGTGTGGCTAATCCGACGTTCTTTCGGAGTCTTGACGAGCGGCATCTTTACGAGGCTGTTCTCGGCTTTCGTTCGGCCTCACCTGGAATACTGCGTCCAGGCTTAACCGCCCTGCCTCGTCAGGGACAAAATGGAGCTAGCGAGGGTTTTACGAGTGGGTACTAGGTCAGTCGAGGGATTACGGGGACGGACGTACCCCGACCGTCTACTTAGTTTGGGATTGCATTCAATGCACTACCGAAGGCTTAGAGGAGACCTAATCCTAACCTACCGTATCTTGACTGGGAAGGTTGGTCCAGATTTTGCTTGGCTATTCAGTCCCGCTAGATTGTCTGTTCTACGCGGTCATTCCTTGAAGCTGGACAAACCGCGGTCCGATCGGATTATGGCGGAAACCCGGCTGTCACGCCGAGTTATCGACCGCTGGAATATGCTTCCGCAAAGTGTTATCAGGGAACCTACGGTTAAGGGGTTTGAGCGGCAACTTAACGCTCTTGGGTCGCAACACGAAACCTTTCGCTTTTCCTGACTAACTCGCATCTTCGTACTTCGATTTTCTTTTCTCTACTTTTCTTCACGCATTGGTATTATTTTCTTATTTAAGTGCAATTCCTTATTCTGTACCTTCGATTTCTCTTCCTATCCTTTGCTTACTTCACGTGAATGCCACAGCAGGGACTGCTAGGGCAGGAAACGTGGGCATTAACCGGTTGGCCAGGGTACGATACGGGTGTTACGTTTTAGATCCCTCAATAACTGAGCACTTCAATTCCTGGCTCAACGATCAACTCAAGATGGAACACTCACGGGATTCTCCTATCGTTCCAGTCCCCATCTGAACTGAACCCAACTAAACTGAACTGAACCGCTCATATTGTTCTGAGCTCATTGCTTCAGTATTTGATTTTATTAATTTATATGTGTCTCTTAAGCGGTAGGCTATTTTGATTAGCAGCTTCATTATACGGTCGGAGATTTACTTAAAGATTTGTTTTATAATACCCAGCATTGCTATGTAACCTTGAAATATACATAAGTTTAGACATCGCAATTTGAAAAATGAGAGGTTGCGTCAGTTTCCTAGGTGTAGAAAATTCGGAAAACGGATACCGTATTTCTGGTCTGCTAGTTAATAACACACTCGCATCAGATTTACTGTTTTTTGTCATACACTGTTGTAATGTACTGTGCTGACGAGTTTTACTGGTTATCTATTAAGTGTTATAAGTTCTTTGGAAGTTGCATATATTAACTTCTCGAGTAAGGAAGCAATAGTATGATTGCTAAACTTAACTTCGCATTTAACTTTAAATATTGATCCATACACATCGCTACTATCACAAAGCTCTTTGTAAGCTTTGTTTTTAATTCTTCTTAAAAGGAATCTACCCCTTATCCCTTGTACATATACTATCCACCAACCGACCAAGCCCGTATTTCTGGCATTACACACACGCGAATCCAACGGTGCGTCGTTATTGTTCCATCCGTTAATATCACACACATTCTTCGCATTGTTACTAATTATAACATGTCAGAATGTGGTACATAGCGTAGTACTTTCTATATTTATCTAATATTCGATATAAGCTTGATGACCGGATGCGATAGTGCAATGTACCTTACTTAAATAATAGGAATAACTCCCAAATACTTCGATGTACTTATCTCTATCTTTCGTCATGCACTGGTATTATTTTCTTGTTTCAACTGAACTTCCTTATTGTGTATCGATTTTTTTAGCCTTTGCTTACCTCACGTGACTAGCAAAGCACGGACTGCTGGGGCTGGAAGCCTGGGGCTTAACTAGTTGTCCAGGGTGCCATACGGGTGTACCGTTTTAGGTCCATCAAAAACTCCGTGCACTACATTTATTCCTAGCTCAACCATTCACTCAAGATGGAACATTCACGGGCATCTCCTATTGTTCCAGTCCTACCCGAATTTGAACACTAATACATACCTATACAGCACTTCTAAACCATCTTCATAATCACAAAACACACTCGACCCAGTAGGTAAATTGACGGCTAAATAGAATCTAACCCTCATCCTTAGCGAAATCCGTACCCACTTGTATTCCTGGTTCACTAGGCCTGCGAAACTGAAGCCCCGCAAAATTGAGAGCGCGTTGTTATGTACGAAGAACTTTTATTACAGGTTTCTTAAGGTTCCTCTATCATATGTAAATAAAAGGACAGGGACGTATGTCTTCCCGTATTAATGAGACGCATAACAATATTAACCACATATAAGGTTCTTACCTTCTTGCCTTGATTTATTTATTATTTTGCAGACAGTAAGCGTAAACCAACTTTAAGTTGTGTTGTATATATGTACTATTATTTTGGATTATATTAAATATTAAGCTTGGGTAAATAAAGACACAAATTGCACACAAATATGATGCATGGGTTCAAACGTTAGAAAGATACACAGGTTTCCGTGCTTTTTAGTGTTGTTCTTTAGCAAAATTTAGAAACTCGGTAGCATAGGAATTTTTGATATGCCTGCAAACCCTTTTTTAACCAGAAAGTTACTTCCGAATTTCTTTCGCTGTTCATAGTCACCTGTTGGCCCCTGTCTTTTTCTGTATAATCGCTTAAACCGTGCAGAAATGAGCACTAGTTTTACATGGGTAAGTGCACATTTATTAACTGGATATCTTCAGAATGAGTCCTTAATGCAAACAGTCGATACACATGTACACAGGAACACTGACACAGCTATTAAAACGTCCCGCGCCGGAATTAAACATTCTTCATCGGAAGAATTCACGGTAATATACTCCGCAGGTTGGTGGCATTACATATTTCAGGAGGAGAAGACGAATACAGTAACAATGAATAATTCTTGTGAATCTCTTTCTGAAGAGCTACGAGAAGTGGACAACATGATACAGCTTACGTATATTCCTTTATGTATAATAACCTCTTAGTCATTTATCACCATTCACCATTTTGGATAACTTGAAGTTAAGATATCAACGTTCTAAAATATATGTGTGTCGTGCTATCTTCAGTGATAATTCTAACCATTATTGATAGACATACATAGGAAACATTGTTGTTACCATCAATCCATACAAGGACTTGTTAATAGATGGGCCAGAAGTCATGCTTCAGTACTTCAACCGGCCGGTATCGACCGTTTCTCCGTAAGCGCTTTGTACTCAGTAATTATTATTTTCAGGCATCTTTATGGTTTAGCTGAAAAGGTATATCGTGCAACTATTCACGGTACAACCAATCAAGTGATAGTTATCAGGCGAGTTCTGATAAGCTTTGTATATTTGTTGTACATCCAACCTAAATACTATGTTATGTGCTTAGATAAGCGATTCGTTTTTTGATAGTGCTTAATGTGTAGACATGCAAGTATTCCCCTATGCAATGTTTATATGGTTCATAGAATTTTGTAAACTAAATGATTTTGCATGTTCAGTTGAGCGCAATTCTGAAATCTAATGCTTGATTAGTACCTTAGGTAACTTATGTACTACCTTTGCTGGTATTTGTACATGGTACTTGTAGTATATTAAGAAAAACTTATCCGTATTCAGCTAATGTCATTCATGCTATGTTGCAGCAACAGTGACAGTACAATGGGTTGCCAGTTTACGTAAGATATTTGAGCTGTTACCTTTTATAGTTTTGTATTTTTTATACATATTGCTGCATGTTATGGATAAGATGACATTAATGTCCAACATTTGTGCGATCGATGGCCTCTTGGTAATTGTGTGTTGTAGACAAACATGCGCATGTAAACAATGCATTACATAAAAGCAACTGTTTTCATATTCAAGACAATATTTAGCACGGTTTCAGAACAAGCACACACTAGTTTATATTTAAAATTCCTAAGCATTAGAGAATCTACTGTAACACTGAAATATTAATTGCCAGCCTAGAGTTGCACAGCTTAGCAACTGAATAAAAATACTATTTTCCGAGCGTTGGAATTATTTGGTATTTTACTAGTAATCGTTTGTAAAGATTTTTCTAATCTCCTTAGTTACCGAGCCGCCATATTTGCTTGCATGGCTGATTATGATCTCCCTTACAGTTTAACAAAAAGTTTTAAAGGAAGTTTATTATAATAGCTATTTGGACGCGTTCATTATAGGATAGCATATACTTCTCTTTGGACGTAAATTTTGCACGCACATTGGCATTCTAGCAAATTAGCTGCATAAAGTAGGGTTTGTAAATACTTCCACATAATAACAGGAGCTTACTCATGCTTATAATCTATTCCTTTTCTGTTGTGTAGGTTTTGTGCGTATACTATAATTTACTGTCACACAAAGTAAACATATTAAGAAGTATTGCATTCTCAACTCCGCACTTTATTTTTATTTAAACTCCTTAGAAATAAGTTGGTTTGATGCAGTCCTTAAGCCGAGCATGTTAAATTTATGTCACTACTACTTTTATCTGATAACTCTCTGGTTGATATAAACTGATTCTTTTCTTGCTTTTAAGTGGAAGTATTTTACAAGACCAAATCAGCTATGGGTTTTAGTAGCGCGTACTATTTAACTCATCGTTAACGACTGGCCGTTGCATAAAGTTGCTGCTTTTATTGCGTTTAATGGTTAAATAATTACAGTACAAATTAGTAAGCTAGTGTTACACTGATCTGCGCATGGGTAATGCATCTTTTAAAAGTAAATATATTGATCATGGCCCGCATGTTTGAAAAGCCGTACGAGTTAGGCCTGTTTAATGTCTGGGTCTACTAATTTAGTAACATCTTATACTCATCTTGTAGTTATATACTAAACTAAATGTTTTGAGTTTATATAGTCAAAAGCCTTTGCATAAGACCTTTTTAATTCTTTACGCTTTAGCTGAAAATGCAAGGCAAACATAAAAAGAGATATTTTAAGTACAGTTACTGCACATGCAACTTAGATACTCAAACAATGAGGTCATTAAACCAACTGATTTTGTATAAACCTTATCCATTTTGCAGGAACCAATAATACTTTGTACAGCATTAGTTATTGTATGGTTAGGCAGAAGTAGTAATGTTTTAATATGCCGCGCCCTCAGTAAATCCCTACTACTAGCTGCTGTCCAGCAGGTATATTTGAACCCTATTTAATTGGGCTTCGGTGTTGGTCTAAGCAGTGAATCCTCGAGCTATTTTATACAGATTGAATCGCAAAGCAATTGGTTGATAAGTGTTTGCTAATCTTGATTTTCCAAACTCAGTTATTGATTACAGTGCAAAGTGATTATTTAATTTGCTGATCTATAATTTATGGTCGGAAAACGTTGTGCTCACTACGCGTCTACAAGTACTTTAATTTTGTTTGGTTTTACTTACCAGGTAATGAGCAAAGACGTCATGTTCTGACAGAAACTAAATCAATAAAGTCAGTTAATGTAACTACTAGTATATACAACGCATCCAACATAATCAGTCAGTAAGGTAAATGACTATGAAATAACAATGACTAAAGAAATCCTTTAAACTGAGAGTTTTACAACTTCTAGTAATGCTTATACACTTGCAGTCGATAACTAAACGTGATATCGTTTAGTACAACAATGTGTTAAGCAATATAATTACGGTTTAAAACTCAATGAAAGCTTAAAATGCAACATTTTTATTATAACTTACTAGCTTATAACCAAATAAGAATTTACATTTAGAGTAATAAAAACTGGCCTGATAGTTTGACACTATTACGTATGATAAATTAAATTCTGTTGCTGCATGAATAACCATTAATTGGAATACAACTTGCTTGTCCAGTTTTGCAACCTGCTACGGGTTTCTGTGCCTGCTCTTTGGCGAGAACTTACCGGTTTCTGTAAGCAATTTTAGGGCGTGCTCTCTAAGCTTTTATGCGTTAGTGAGTCTGTGGCATTTAACGGAAGTAGCTTTGCATTTGATTATTTAAAAGCACGAACTGAGTCTCTTTACAACAGATCGTAAGCTTCCTATTACTGATCACCTGCCACATTTTGAAATTTCCGGAAACAACAACATATCTGACTGGATGGCACGGGCCAACTCGTTAATGAAGACCAAGGATAAACATGGCCCTAAAAATGGTCATTTTAAAAAAGCGCATTACTTATTAACGTAATCAGCAAACAAGCCACGGACTCGAACCAGTGGCCACCGGTATTGAAGGAATTTTCCCATTTTTCCAACTACTTGGTCTTTCACTCCTTATGTTTGCAGCTGTTGTGGTAGCAGTTGGTTATTTAGCAGGTTGAATGCTTTAGAAAGATCTAGGTAGACTATAGCAGTGCCGTTCCTACTGTCGGCTTTTTCCTTTCCACTGCCGCGCGCATTAATTAGCTTAAGGTTACAGAATTGGTGCTGACAGAATTTGTGCTACACCAGCGTAATGGTATTATATATTTCAAATGGCTAATTAGTGCCTCAGCTATGATCCACTCCACTATCTATGAGAGCATTGGGAGTAGAATTACTGCGCGGTAGTTTGCAAGTTTAGTACAGTTACCACCCTTAAAATCACGGCAATTAAACCATACCTCTACATGTTAGTAACTTGCTGTTCTTAAAAGCATTTTTAAGATAATCGGGTTAATGTTTTGACTACCCTTGTAGCTACAACCTGCAGTATTTTCGAGTAAATGATGCCAAGTTCATAGAAACCATGGGTGTTTAATGATGGTAGCTTACTATAAACAATCGCTAAACTAAAAGTACGTGCGTAAATACTGGTATCTAACGAAATGGGCAGGTCTGTGATACATGCTATTGGTGCGTCGTAATATTAGACTGTATTGTTCCCTTAGAACTTTGGCTTCATTCTTGGCGATTGGAGCGCAACCGTTTGCTGAGTTTATTGAGGAACATTGCGCTTCAATTTCCGGAGGCTGTCCACATTTTCTACAGAAACCTGTTGCCAACACAAAAGTTTGCCGCTAAGCTCCGCTGGGGCACTAATTTGTCCTCACGGACAAGTATGGTAAAGTGCTTAAGCTGAACTATACATTTGCTCCATTTGTCAGGGCTGTGGTGTGCTCTGTACACATGCCACGTTGCACCAATTACTGCAAAGTAATTTCAAGTTTTTTTCCAAATGAATGATGTTGTTCTTGTAAAACCAATGAGCAGGTTTTCCGATGGGGATATGATCTGATTCATGAACTTGCCAGCAAATACCATCCAGGCATTATCAATAGAACAGTCGTCTGGAAACTCTAAGATAACACACCTGGAAAGTTTTGTCGCCATCTTGTAGTGTGCGTTTGTTCGAAACAAGTCATGTTTTTGTGACTCTTCCGTATAACACACCTGGTCGTAAAGTATTGTTTCTTGTTTAATCGGCCCCCAGAGGACTGTCAATCTTTGGTCTAGCGAACATGAGTTTTTGACTCGGTAGTCATAAGTCAAACATAGATGCCTTATCCCGCGAACTGAAACGGGTGTGAAAAAGGACATAGCGGAAGAGCGGAATGCTTGCAACAAGCTCTTGCAGGTAGGCTGTGAACTGATTTCTAGCTGATACCGGATTTTCCAGGCCGCGAACATTGCAATCACCTGAGATGAGCTCAGATGTAACGTCGCCGCACGACCCTCCTCAGTGGTATTGACATGCGAGATTATATGCCTGTAGTGGACAACGATGAACCAACACCTACTCCTACAACTTAGGTGTGATTGCGTCTATACCGTAGACTGCACCAGAGCGAGTTTATGGTTAGCATTTTCGGATTATCCACCGGTACTCATTGAAAGTCATTGCGGTGTACAAAAGTACCCCACTACCCTTGCCGGGACGACCGTCTTGTCATGTTGCACGAAATGAATCCCTACTACCTCATAGGTAATTTCTAAATGTAACCAATTTTCAGTTACAAACATAAGCTCCAGACGTATACTACTAGCCGCAACTGCAATTAGGCAAGCTCGTTCAGGAGACTATGTTCATTGGTGCATATGAGGGAAAGTTTGCTTAATCTCAGCAGTGAGTCAGGAGGCGTGTGTTTCGTGTGTGCTGTTGTGTTGACTAGTGAAAGTTCGATCGTTATACGTTTTCTAGGTGTAGCAGTGACGAGCTTGCCTGTGTCAGATACATGGATCCCCTCAAGTGCTCCTTGCTCATATGTTTGTATGTAGTATATAAGGTTGTGTTCACCATTTTCATCGGCTAGTGGTGTTGTCCGAACCGCTGCGTGGAATGGTTCGATTAAGTTGCTGCTCTTGTTTTTGTTTAGGGGGCGTTACTTTGTTGCAGATCTCGGAAAATAGGTAGCTGTGACCCGTACGGT